CATGGCCCATTATAAATATTCAGAATTATTTTTTAAGGTGTGAGGGAGGATAGGGAGTGACATATCTTTTAAATGTCTATCTGTTTTCAGCTTTTTAAATCTTTTGTAGGAGCCATATGTATGGAACCTGGCTGTTACTTTTGACTTTACACCTTTGCATTGATTGAAGAACTGAGCCTTCACCCCCACACCCCTTATATTTCCTGTGGTTAATTTTCAATGCTCTACAAACAGGGAAGAAATTGATCTTGATGTCGCTTCTTTTCCAAATATAGTATTAGAATTTCAAATTTAATTGGCTCTTATCATGGTCTTCTATCAAGAACTGACTTTTAAAAGAGGAAGATCCAGTTCCTGAGACCAAGCAAATCTTCAGGGTATTTTATTACTGCAGTAAATCAATGATTATAACAATACTTTATATTCTGCAACTTGTAGAATCCTATAGTAAAGGGAAAATTCTTGCCTAAAGCAAAGATATAACGATTACTAAGTTGTGTTTTCTGTAATATATAACATTAAATACATTTTTAAACTAATTAAATTAATCAAATATAGGTCTCCATTTCAGAATATTTATTTGAATTTCAAGCTGCCATGGCATCTCATTTCCTGTCTGACATAGCATTCATTGGATTTTCTTGCCAGATTCAAGTATACTATGCTACAGGATAAATAAGCAGATAGAAAGATGTCTTGCCTTCCCTTGACTTCTTGAATGGCCAAGTGCTTAATCTTTCTTTCTTGCTCTTGGGGGAATGTAACTCTGCTTTAAATTGTGATTTTGCCTGAGAGGATAACTCTTCCCATGCCCTATTAAGTAGGGAGGTGCTAGTTTTTTCAGACAACCTGGCTGTTTGCTAAGTGGAAGTTTCTTCTCTTACCTTTGTGTGCACAGGAATGTATTGGAAGAGAGGTGAATAGAATGTGAGGTCTCAAGGGTCTTGCCTTCAGCTTCACAGGCCTGGCATTTGATAGGGAGTGGGCAATGGATTATCTCAGAGTGCTTTTGCCTGCAGGCAATTTTGTGGAGTATATAACAGTAAAGAAGATAGGAATTGGCAAAACACTTGTGTGATTTACCATATGCATAACAAGATCATTCAGTGCCCAGAGTGGGTGGGGAAGGATGGAAGACCAATCACTGGAGAGCAGCATAGGGAGATCAGGAGAAGGGAGGAAGAGTGGAGTCTTACCACTGCTGTCCTCAGAGTGAAGGCTGCTAGTGCTGCTGACACTGCTACTATAGCAGCGTTGACTTGGGCCCATGAACAAGACAGCCCCATTTACTCTCCTTTGCTCCCATGTATGTTACTGAACTCAGGTTGCATCTGCTTTGGCAAAGATTCCCTGGAGGGTGGGGGGAGGAGGGGAAGGAGCACCATTTTGCTTACCTCCTCCCCTCCAGATACACTGCTGGGCACATCTTGTATCACTGGGCAGGGGCAGCTCAGAGCAAAGACTCCCAGGGCAGGCATGGTGACAACAGTGAAGTACCATGGGTCTCTGGTGCCCAGGGGCCAATGCATTTCTGCTTCCACCCCCCCCCCCGGTCCTTTGCACTGGGAACTCCTCTGCTCCCTCCCCAACCCTGTTTGGTTACCTGTTTCGACCAGGAAGAAAATGAAAGTCCCGGCATACCAGACACGGGGGGCGGGGGTGGACGGAATTTCTGGCGGACGGAATTTCTGGCCAAAACAGGTAAGTAAACACCCAACCCGCAGGGCAGGCAAGCAGGTTAAACAACAAATGCGGCTGCCACCCACATGATAAGAACTCTGAAGGGCTCAGCCGGCACCCCCCCCCCAGCTGGTGCCCAGGGGCTATGGCTCCCTCCTGTCCCCCTCTCCCGTCAGTCTGCCACTGGGTGGCAAAGATTCCTGGGATCACGGTGTGACTTCAGCACCCCCTTGATAGTCAATGCCTGGAGCTAGTGCCCCACTTGCCCTCCTTAGTTATGCTACTGCATGTATATTATAATGTGAATATAATGTGTGTAATAGCAGGAGGAACCAGGGGGTAGTGCTGTAGAGCTGTGTTGATTGTTAATATGGACTGTAACTCCCAGAAACCCCCAGGGACTGGAGGGGGGGAGGAAGCAAGAGAAAAAGGAAGAGGAAGTATGAGGCGATAGTAAGGTGAAGAGAGAGCAGCAAGCAGGTGGAACCTGGTCAGCCCTACACAGAAGAGTGCACAGTGGAGCTGGAGATCTCACTGGCTCCATCAGCCAGGACTGTGAACTGAAGGAGCTGGACTCAGACTTGAGGGCAACTGCAAGCTGCTGTTTGAGTGCTGTAGGGACAAAAGGCTTGTTGTGTGAGGACACCTCTGGAGGTGTGTGGGAAAATTAGGATGTTGAACATGTGTTACCACAATGTTGAAACTTCTTTACCTTTTACCTATTCCCTGTCTTTGACCTGTTGGCTTGTGACCCTAACCCCTATATAAAAGTTGGAACTCCCCCTTGCTTCATGTGCCAGTTTCTGGGGCTGCAGGGGTGGCACAATAAGTTCTAGTTTCATAAACAGTGATTAATTGAAGCCCTTTACTGTAACAGACTGAGTTTTTTTAGGCCAAGGTGACAGGGGCTAATTGTGCTGGCATCAGGACATTATCAATAACATTCTGTAGTTTCAAATGTTTAGATGTCTCACGAGTTTCAACTTTGCTTTGGTTTCCTGGAGTTCTAATGGCTAAATTTCTTATTTTCAACTAACTACACTGTTCTTATACCTATTTTTACCTTTAAACTGTTTAACACATGGTTTACTCTTAGCCTAGCATCATGTTAACAGTGGTGTAGAATTGCCTGAATAGGGGTGTCAGCCCCCCTATCACTTCAGCTGCCTCCCAATTTTCAGCTGCTGCAAAGCTCAGAAAGCTTGTTTGGATCTTCTGTGGCTCTCTTCATGTAGCAGATGGCTTGTAGTGAGATGGCTTTTTAGGTTCACTGTAGTTGGCCTAAGAAGGTTACCAGCAGCTTCAGGGTAGATGGATCCTAAGAAACTTTAAGGGCTGATTGTAAGAGGCAGAAGCCCATGACTGTCTAATAAGACTGACAAGAGACTGAAGAGAGGTCTTCAGTAACACTTTTAAGGTCTATAGGAGAGATGTAGCATCACCAGTCTGCTGGTATCTCTCCCTCCCCTCCTTTCTCTCTAAACCACACATACATTCTTCCCTTTCCTCAGTCCCAGCCTCTCTCCTCCTGCAGAAAAAGGCAACTTGCCCATTAGGGTTCTAGGAACTGAAGCGGGCCAGGAAGGTATTTTTCTATTGCTGTTGACTAGCCTCACACAAAGAACCTAGTTTTAATTGTCTTTACTTCTCTGTTCTCAAACTTAAATCTACTAAAACAAAAGTGTTTGAAGAATTCTCTAATTAGCAAACCTGCTTTCATATAATGTGTCTTAATTTACAAATACCCTGCCTGATTAATTTCCATATTAGTCAACAACATCTCCTTTTTTTTTCTCCTATTAACAATCCGCCCTTGCAATCAGTTTTCACTTTGAGGGCAATCTCTGTGAAGGGAAAGCCTCCAGCCATGATTTGATGCCTTACATTAAGGATATCAGAGATGGCAAGTCAGTTTGATGTTGTTGGATAAAATCTTCACAACTTTTAAAGCTTAATTGACTAATTTTAAGTCATATACACCCTAGTTCTCTACTATTATAAACAAGTTCAGTACATCACTTTTTTCCCCTTTCTGCTTCATTTTGTAGCTAAGTAGAAGTAAAAACAAAACAAAAATTCCAAAGAAACTAATACTGGTTGTATACGATGTTCATTTTTAGCAGTGGACATTGTTGAGGAACTTCTACTGTTAGAAATTGTTCTAAGACAGGAAGCAACAGAGGAGTTCAGCCCACATCTCGCGCACCCATCTCTTGTTCTTCCTGCCTTCTCCAAACCAGGGAGCAGCCTGGGGAAGATGTGGGCAGCAGAGGCTGTTCTAGCCCTCCTAGTCCTGGGAGGCAATCAAGTGCTGTGCTGGGGGTAGCATCTTCCCTGCAGAGCACATCAAGCCTAGCACTGGCAGCTTCTTCCTTTCACAGCACTTCAAACCAGCACCTCCAGTCCCCTGAGAAGCAGAGGGAACAAGGACAAACCCCAAGCCTGTTCCGTAGGCCAGGCAGTCTCATATGGGGGAGAACCAGGAAGCATTGCCTCCTGCTGCCCTCCCCTACCAAACTGGTCCTGGAGGGAAGGGTAGCAGTGGCAGTCTCCAGCCTGGGGTAGTCCCCACTCTCTTCCTTTTCCCTCCAAAATGGGAGAAGAGTGTGTAAGTGTTCATTCTTGCAAGAGAAACTCACAAGGGATATCTTTCAGGCTGATACCTGGAAGATCTTCTCCCAGAAGGGACATTTCACCCAGGAGAGATTGAACAAATGCTTGTCATTGTTTCAGGGGAACAGTGATTCTTCTGGTAGAAATGCAGTGTGTATACACAGCCACTATTTTGAACTCTGAACATTCATATTTCATGAAACAGTCGAAGTCAGTACCAAGTATCCACTTATACTCTGTTATCTAAATCAAGCATTTTAGGTCAATTTTCCTTTGTTAGTGGATAAGATTGGTGAATGCAAAATTGAACTCAGAGCTAAAATTCAACTACTTCAACTTATTTCTTCACCACTTCATAATATAGTACAATACACATTGCTTAACAAAGCTACAAATTAAAACATTATTAAACTTTATAGGTCTGAAGAGATTAAGAGAGTGTGAAGAAGAGAGTCATTTAAATGAGCTTTATTCACTGCTCGGATATGAAAGATAGGTTAAGTTCAATTCAAGCCCAAAAGCCCCCATTATGTCCCTATTATGGCAGATGATGCAGTAATGAATCTTCATAATACCAGCAAAGGCATTCTGCACTGACAGGGTTGCGGAGATAAAATGTACTTATAGCTACAATATCTTGCATATTAATATTTAATTAAATAATATAATTTGAAAATAACATATTTATTAAGTCTTTGTGTTTGCAGAGGGATTGGAACAAAAAGGCCAGCCTCCATCTCCAACAAAGTGCAAATCAAAGCAAGTGGAAGACCTACGGGACGATAAAGAGGGTAGGTGGTATTAAGGCTTTTCAGAGTCTGTCATCAGTGGGTTTTTTTACTGCAGGACAAAGATTTACTTTCAGTTAAGATAAGCAGAATAGAGTGTGACAAGGTGTTCTCCAGCAGTGGCCATGAAGTCAAGGTGGCCAGTAGTGGCCTGGAGTCCCTGCAGCCCTCATTTTGTGGACAATCACCCCTTTAGTCACCTGCCATGCACCGACATCTATTACTTTTATGATGGAGGCTGCTCCAGGGCTGCCCAAATTGCTTTCTCAAATGACCACCAGGTGCCCATGGTCACTGCTTTGTGTGCTAATCAACTAACTCCATTCCTCCCCTACACTATGCCTCATAGATGGCATCTATTGATCTCTTCCACTTAGCCCCTTCTCTGGGGTACCTGGACTCTCTATGGTCACACTCTCTCAGTCCCTCAGTCTGGGCTCTAGACCCCTCCCTGAATCCCTAGGAACCTCCTTCTCCCATTAATTCTTCTCCAAACCTCCAGGCTGCTTCTTGCTTTACTTTCCCAGCTGCCCTTCTGGAGTTGCAACCATCCTGATGAGGTTCTCTTAGCAGGCTCCAATATGTTACTGCTGGCTCCACTCAGATCTGGGCTTATATCCTACCTAACCCCAGCCTTCCTCCAGGGTCAGATGACTATAATCAACCCTGGCCACACCTGCAGGCTGCCCCAGCACTAGCTTGCCTGCTTCTTAAGGTGGGAGAAGCATTAAGCTTCCTGCCAGACACAATACTTTTCTTTTAAAATATTCCCAATGTCTATATTTATTGTGCAAGTATGTTTTGGCTTAGACACTGGGAGTGAATTCTGCTACAGTTATATTTTCTATCAAAGGAGATTCAAAATTAGGAATGATTTGCTGATGTAATAAACTATTTATTATTGTTGCTATAAATGAAATAAGTGCTTTGATGGGGTACAACTGATGATTTCAAAAGTAATATACATTGCATTATGAAACAGTCAATGTCTGGTTAAGTTAAATGATCAAGTAAATCTACTACCACTATCACCTCACACTATGCAATAGCATTTTTTTTCCCCTTTCTGGAATAGAATCTGGTATATAGGGGCATTTATACACATGCTTCAGGAGTTGTGGGGGGAGGAGGCACTTTAATGAGAATTGGTCTCAGAGCTGCTCTAATTAAAGTGCCTGGAGTGTCACATACATCAGCATCCTCAAGCTGAAAAATGGTAGTGGGGGAGCTTTAACTAAATCTCATCAAATGAATTTTAGTTAAAGTGCCCTTCCTACCATTTTCCAGTGTGGAGACACTGATACATGTGATGCTGGAGTCTGCTGGAACACAGCAATTACCATGCTTGATTAATTACCAGCAGAAATGATTAATTACCAGCAGACTTGATTAATCAGCCTCCCTGTATGTGTATAGGGGCCCTACGTTTACAATGTATTTATGTAGTGCATGACTCCATATTCATACCCAACTACTTAACTCCATCCAAGTCAGAAAAGGACTAATCTTATGTACTCTTCTGAACAGATATACTTTTCTAACTAGAATCTACATAGGGAAGCTAATCTATGGGTGCAGAAGCAGTACATTGTACTAAAAAGTGAAATCATTCTGGTGCTGGATCAAATTAAAATAATTTTAAAGGAATCAGAATCTCATTGATAGAATTGTAGTCATATTAGAGTCCAAAGAGGATTATTAGTACATTTTGAGAGTGCAGATTTGTATGTTGTTTTGAGACATGTGCCTCCACAAAATGTTTGTTAGTACAAGGACTGATAGTGATATAATTCATAAGGGGAGCCTTGATCATTTATTTTTTAGACAGTTTCTTGCCATAAAATACCTTTCACCCAAAGTTCCCAAAAGAACATGTTTAAGTCTCCACCTGAGCATGTCATTACATAATTTTCATCATTTTGACCTAGTGCTGTGACTAGTGCTCCTAAAATACTGGTGGTATGGCATGAGTCACTAAGACCAGAAAAATAAAAACATCCATCACATTAAGTAACTGTGAGTAACATCCTATCACTAACCTTGTGATTGTTTGTTAATAGCAAGTATTTAGAAAATGGATGTTATTATCTTCAAGGTGTGGAGGGACTCAAGAAATCTTTTTCAGCCTTCTTTCTCATTAACTGTATATTGCTGAATTGAACCCACCTCAAAATCAAATAGCAATTTCATCTCTAGATTATCATTTCATTAGAAAATCTCAACAATGGCAAAATAAAGATGCCCATTTAGCTGCTGGTTGAGTGCTGTAGAAGATCATAGATAATTGAAGCCTGATGATATCATTTTCTCTAATGAGGATAAACAATGATCATTTTAATGGCTGTTATTATGGTGGGGGCATTATTTTGGAAGCCTCTAGAAACTAGCTTTGCCTTAGGGCCCTGCTACATGTTCAAACTAAAACCAGACAAAAACCAGTTATAGAGCTGTTACACATTTTCAAGCACTAACTTTATAGTTGGTTGGCTCTTTTTATAGCTGAATGGTCATTTTTATTGTGTAATAATTACCGTACATGTGTGGCTGGTCTATATTTATTGCACAATGAGCTAGTTAATTGCATAATATATGTAAGGTGCAGCAGAAGCCTCAGGCACTAAAAATAAAGAAGAAACTGGATGCTGTAAACCCACAAGGTTCTCCTTTCATTGACAAAAGAGCTGACATTATTCCTTTAGCTACTTCTGCATTATGGCCTCCCAGTTTTACTATTCCTGTTAATGTGCCTTTGTGATCTAGAGTTTGCTTTGTGGAGTACAAAAAATGTATTGAAAGGATGAAGTAAATAGCATGGCAATGGAATGATTACTTTACCTTAAAGTATAAAATACCTGGACTCCTTGAATTTGATGCCATCCAGTGGATTTTGCTGATGCAGAATTGAGGCCTGTAATACATAATCACTGCTGCAGAATTTAATCTATCTGGTGACAGAATTCTCTTCTCCTTAGGCAGAAATCAGGTCTGTAATGCATAGGGTTGAAAGTCTAAATTTAGACTCGAGAGTCCTTGTGATGGAAAAAAGTAATTAAAGCATCCACTGAGGGGAAAAAAGGGTTTGGGTCAGATTTCTGTAGAATTACCTTTGCCTTAGTTTTCAAAAGGCATCAGGCAGTTAGGCCATAGATACTGAATTCCTATAAAGTTGCAAAGTGGCCGGATTCTAATGTAATGCACCTGTGAGCCATTTCAATTTAAGTAAATGGGATTTGCACACATTTATCTGAGAATAGGATTTAGCCCCAGATAAATGTTGTCCTAATTATTACCTAGACTGTAGTTTCTAACTATCTAAAAGACCTCATGCACCATCCTTGCAGATGAAAAAGATGTGAATACATGCCACTGCATTATCCAGGATGCTGTGTGTGTGTGCTTACCTTCAAAACCAGCCTCTCTGTTTGGGGTTGACTTTAGGGAGGTTACCTCACAATAATACCCAAGTTCACTGGCTTTAACATATTTTTACTTTAGGAGATCGTGGACATGTTTTACCTGAATAGTATTTTAACTGTAAGGGCAAGCCTAAAAGCATATTCATTAAATATTAACAACATAATATTTTTCCCCAGCATGGCATCGTCAGTAATAATAAAAAGGCTTAGAGAAATTACGAGAAGAACGTAGAGTTGTTCTGTATTAGCTGAGGTGTCTCTTTAAAATGCAAGTGAGAATATGTGAAGAGAACCTAACTTAGTCTATTAACAGCCTTCTGCTACCCTAACTTACTCCTGGATCTTAAAATACTATTCTGAGCACAGTAACATCTCAGCAGTGTTATTTTTCTACCACATGCCCAGCTGCTTTGCTGGTTTGAGATGAGGTAGCAATATCTCTACAGCATGGCTAACATCTCTCCAGAAGATCATTGAAGGTTGATTCCTATTTTACTACTTCCTCTACAACCAAGGAATGTCAAATATGTAGTTCTGTGTAGGGAGTTTGTTTTCCAGTAAGTGACAATAAATGCTTGACATGTTAATGAAAGCAATTTAATATGGAGTTTCTAAAGTATGAATGGTCTCTGTTATTAAGCTATTTATTATATTGTTCTCTGTATTTGAACTAATGGGTGAAAAAGCTAGTGTGAATTGCAGATCGTATTTTGCTATTGGTCGTTTATTGTATTCTGTGGTATGTTATGAGGTAGCATTGAATACTATCTGGAAGGAAATAGAAAAAACATTCTCCCCCTCCCCCAAAAGGTTCCTATAGTATTTCAGATAATTTATGTGCAAACAGGAAACTTTTGTAAAGTGTTCTGGGTGGGTGGAATCAACTAGGTATCATTTTGATTTTATTATCAGTCACATGCACTATATGACTGGCTGGTTATAAAAACCTAAGGGGTGAAAAAGTCAAACTAGGTATATTCTACCTTAATGTCTGCAAAACTCTCAGATTTTTAAACAGACATTGTAGACAGCAAAGGTAGTGAAAATCAAGGTTAATTTGCAGACACAGGAGTCTTTTGCTTTACTTATTTGGAAATAACTAACACTTAAAAGTACACCTGTCCAAAGCATGTTACTACAGTCAATACACACATTTCAGGTCAGATGCTCCCATCACTGTCATTCCTACTAAGTAAAAACAGAGCTAAAAACCCCCTCTATAACTCTTCACTAACCCTCCTTTTGCCTCAGGTATTCACTGAGTTGGGTGACATAACAGGTACTTCTGGAACTACAAGGTAGAAGATCAATTACTCATTACCTCCTTCTGAAATCTCTTAGGAAAACAGAAGAAAGCCACTGGAGCACAGCGCCATCCACTTCTTTCAGAGGCTATAGATATGTTACCATCATATGGTATCAAAGGAAATTGGTAACTCTAACAACATCAAGTTGGTCACTTAAATCTTTCTCCATCATCAGGAGATGATTCACCCATGTTATCAGCACCCATGTTATGCCTTCTTCTAGTCAGCATCCTGACAGCACGATCAGGGCATTTGAAAGCATGCAGATGCCCTACATATT